TTCCCTCCTGGAGGGACAACCAGGTCAGCTGTCCTGGGCCCAGGGTAGAGGGGGGGACCTAAACCAGCCCCCTCATCTATGGGCTAGACAATTTTCTTAAGTTTTTATTTTTATTTTTTATGTCTTTAAAGATATGCAAATTTATGCTTAAGCTACATAAAATATTTTCCTATCATTACTTTTTTCCTATTATCCACTGCAGTATTGGGAAAGTACCGCCCCCTGCCATTCTTTCTAAATGGTTCTAATTCTGACACAGCATCTTTAAAGTTTATAGAACTGCTTCAGTAAAAGACATACATTTGTATTTTGTATGTATATCTAAAAACCGCTGTATCACCCACACCTCGTACTCGTGGATGGGGTGGGTGGCTCCATCTCAAGCTTGGGTCCTCTACCAGAAGCCTGGGAGCTTGAGGATTCTTTATAGTATCTTAACTGTCCCTAGAACTGCACATTTCTAGACTGGTGTGTCTGATGTTTCTCTAGGTATCTGTTGGAGCCACTTCTCCAGTGAGGAGTTTACTGCCCCCAGGGCTCCAGTGACCATGGATACTACAGTTACCTTCAACTTCCAGGCTCTTTCTAAAGCTTCCCTGGAGCCTTGGTATTACTCCTATTTATCCTGTTCTTTTTACTGATGTTTCTGTCATTTGGGATGTCAACACCAATCACTATGGCTTCCCGCTTATCAATGATCAGAATATTTGTTTGATCTGCCACAGCCATGTTGGGTGTTTGCATCTGGAAGTCCCACAAACTTGGGAGGTGGCTCCGATTTTAACCTGGATGTCTCCAGTTAGTATTCTGCACAAGTGTTTTTGTATACTATACCAGCCACTTGGTTATGAGGTTCCATGTATTCCTTTCCTGTCAGTATCTTGCACCCTGCTGTGAGATGATGGATTGTTCCAGGGACCTCTTTGCATAGACTGCACCTGGGATCTTGTCTGGTATAGTATATCTTGTCCTTTATTGCTTTGGTGCCCAAGGCCTGCTTCTCTGCTGCCATGATCAGTGCGGATGTATTCGTGGAGCTTGGATGTTTCATCTTCAATGGTGGCTCTAAAGCTCACTAGGCCTTAGCCTCCTTCTTTGCGCTTAGTGTATAGTATGTGGATGCTGGATTTGGGGTGGCATCCACCATGCATTGTGAGTAGCTTTCGTGTTTTAACATCAGTGGCCTGAATTTCCTCCTTAGGCTAACTTATTACTGCAGCAGGGTACCTGATAACTGGCAAGGCATAGCTGTTGATGTCCTGGACCTTGCTCTTGGGATGACATCTCAAAACTTACTTTACTTGTTGCAAGTATTTGGCTCTTGCTGCTCTCCTTGTAGCCTCTTCAGGGTTGCCATTTGCCTGTGCTATTCCAAGGAACTTGTAGCTCTCTTCTACATGTCTTATTCTCCCTTCTGGTAGTGTGACCCACCCTGTGTGGATTACCTTTCCTCTCCATGTCGAGTGAAAGTGAGGGCCAAAAGTGGTATTCGGCATGCCAGTTTTGAAAAAATGGTATATGCCATTTAAGAACCGGCTTATGCCAGTTGGGAACCGGGTTAGGGTTAGTAATTCAATTCAATTCAGTTTATTTATATAGCGCCAATTCACAACACATGTCATCTCAAGGATGTAATGAAAAAGTAATGTTTATGTATGTAGTTGTAAATGCATCTATTTAAAAAAAGTAAACAGTCATACCACCAAATCTTGTGATTGTGTTTGCTTTGACAATGTAACTACATGTTCTGAAAACTGCAGCATATTTTCAATACTACATTATCAGGTAGATCGCTTGTGAACTGCTAAGCATTAGCCTAGTCACTGTGTTTACAATTCTTCTTTGTGTCTGGTTGCAAACAACAGGTGATTACCGACCCCTGCCGTAAATATGCTTGTGGCGTCAGATCAATGGAAATATAATTTTCCTACGTTCAGTTAAAATGCTAATTTAAAAAATCTTCAAATTAAAAGCCATTGTTGTCATGGTTCATATTAACACGTTGACATTCTTACTAAATATTCAGATAAATTCAACATATTATCAGTATTACAGTCTGAAGTGGATCGCGAGTGATCTGCTAAGCACTAGCCAGGCCACTGTCTGTACCGCCACTGCTGTACATATGTGTGTGGCATCATGCTAACTCATTACCTCTATTTTTAACTGTATGATGTTTTAATATTTTCACTTTCACCGGCGGGGCATACCCAGCACGTCTGGCTTGTACCCTGGCACCTCCTAGAGAACAAGTTATATCTGAAGCAAGAGGAATGTGAAATCCACCAGCCATCAGTCAGCTTCCTAGGTTACATAGTTGCCAAAGGTCAGCTTCAGCCAGATCCCGCCAAGATAAGAGCATTGGCAGAGTGGCCTATTCCCACCTCACACAAACAACATCAGCACTTCCTTGGGTTTGCCAACTACTTTCTCAGGTTCATTCGCAACTATAGCAAAGTAGCTTCCAGTTTTAGCAAAGTCACTTCCCCTTATATTCCAGTGGCTGGCTAGCTGAGTCACCTTCCTTGCACACAGGAAGCCCTGGGTCCAAATCTCTGCTTGAGGGAAGGAGTCCTTAGGCCTACTTTGTAAGTTTCATAAGGATTGTCTGCTAAATGTATAAAATAAACATTTTTATAGAGTAACCACAATCTAATGGCCAGCTGAATCTGAGCAGGCCTTTCAGAGACTATATACATTGTTTACCTGTGCAACAGTGCCCCTCCACCCTTACTCTACAGCTTGATGCTATCCATTGCTATCCATGGCTAGCAGCCCCATTTAGGAATCCATAGCTAGTCTTGTTGATTATTTGGCAGCTGAACAGCAGGGGGATAGAGCATCTCCATGGTAAATTCCACATTTGAAAGGAGATTGTTGAAATTGGCTTAAATTGTGGTTTTCCACAATTTCTGCAAACTAACAACCTTGCAATGAAGGCTCTTAGACTGCTGTGATCTTGTACAGGTTCTGTCATTCCAGGATCCATGTGTGTGGCATTGAGTCTTAATGAGTCTCATGGCTTTCTTGTAATCAATACATGCTGTGCAGAGCGGGTTTGTTTTTCTGGTTTTGCAGTTTTGGGGCTCTTCTCTGTCAACTAACAGTTGGTGTTTGGCTCCTCTGGCGTTTTCAGTCAGCCATTCAGGGTGGGTCCCACTCTTCAACAGACAGGTCATTTGTGCTGCTAGGTGTTTGTGGAGGGAAGTTAGCTGCTACAGCCAGTAGGTTTGGATAGTGTCTGAACCAGGTACTGTCCAGTTCTTCATACCTGAGAGACTTTGTTGGAGGTCTGCCATTGTGATGTTCTCTGGACCTTGTTCAGGGATGTTAGCCTGTTCAGCTCTTAGGTCTTTTAGCCAATGTGCATTGTTGTGATGCTTGGAGTCTTTGTTTTGCAGCTTCTGGGGCATCTGTTTGTATTCCTGCAGCATTCTTTTGCCATATAATCCCCTACAGAGTTCCAAGTTGGTTTACTTCTTTCCCTGTTGCCTAGGGTGACCAGATTTGGGTTTCTGAAAAGGAGTACACAAAAGGAGGAAGTGTCGACTGCTGGGCTGCTGACTGGACGGGACCTCAGCAAAGAGCCATGAGCCACAGCCGGAGGAGGGGGGCTGGGGACCGGTAAGGCAGTCGGGAGGTAGCACAGCGATGCAGGTGTCCAGGCCACGGTTACCGGTTCAGGTTTGGTTGCTCCATCCCCCACTGGCTCCCTGCTCCCATCCGTCGGGGGACCAGCCCCGGAGCTGACGGCTCTCTTCGAGGGCCTGGTGTGTTTCGACTACATGCTGTAGTCGACCAAAATCCCGGACGATTTTGAAATCCCCCACAGAAATTTTTTTAGGTCTGAAAAGTGGGACATGTCCGGGAAAAAGAGAACATCTGGTCACCCTACTGTTGCCTTGATTTTGGCCTACAAACTTTCTTCAGTGGTCTCTAGTGGTGTTTTATATGGAGTTATAACACATCCAACAGTTTTGGGTTTTAGACTTAATATTAGAAAGTTATTATCAACCAATGCTGAAGTCAGGTTTCTGACTTCATTGCTTAACTTGTTCAGAGGAAGAAAATTGTAGAAAAGAAGAAGCAGAAAGGTGAGTTAGACAGAAATCTACCGTTTCTGATCGCTTGTTGCCTCAGGCCCTTCTGACACACCTCTCTGGACTTGTGCCGATTATGTGAAACCAAACAGGAAACATATGGAAAGTTGGCTGTTTAGTTGATATCTTATTCATTGTTTAGAACCCTCAACCAACATGTAGTTGTCCCTGGAGAACAGGGTATACTCATTCTATTTTTTTTTTTTATGCAGCCCAGAAACAATGACATGTAGAACCGCTCTATGTAGTTTTCCAGAAAATTTCTTTGTAGTATTTACTTAGTGTCATCTAATTTCTGCTATTTGATCTCAGGGAGAAAGGATTATGAAATAACTAAATGCTGACCCACAGACTAGTGTGAGACAATTATGGATTTTGAATGAACTATTCCTTATTCCTGAGTCCATCCGTATGAATGAAACCTATTCCCTCACTTAGCAAGTCAGTGGCTTATTTTTTTAAACTGTCTCTTTGAACAGCGGATTTGTCAGAGTGTGGGCTACTATTAGAATTAACATAACTTATTAAGGGGCAGTTTGTTGGTATTACTGGTCACACATGCAGCCTGCATGAATATAAAATACAGATAACGCAAACATGGTGTTTGAGTTTTTTTTTTTTTTTACTTCTATCTAACTAAAACATTTTAGATGTAAATTTGACATCCTTGTTCATATTTTGTGGATAGCATGCTAAACTAACTGACTGTCACAGATAAGATTATAATTTAAATGAAATAGAAAATAAAAAATGCACATGCACAATAAAGGAGCTGAGAACTCTCTCAGATTTAGAAACATACTCAGGGATTAGCAGGTAGAGTTCAGCTGAAAGTGTACTAATTCCCTCCCTCTCTGGTTTACATAATGGGTGGAACCACAGATGCTTCCTGGAGAAAGCTCATAGCTACACCTGAGCTCAAACCAGTTTTTGTTGTACTGCAGAGAAAGTGACACTGTTGGTGAAATGGAGCCGACAGGAGTTCAAGTAGCCCAAGGGAAGCTAGTTTGTGCCATCTGTTTGAATCTACTGAATGATCCAGTGCCTATTCCCTGTGAACACAGCTACTGTAGGACCTGCATTCAAGACTTATGGAATAGAGATCAGAGGGGGATCTACAGCTGTCCTCGGTGCAAGAAAGAATTCATATCGTCGCCTGTGGTGGAGAAAAGTGGCACATTAACCCCTTTAGGGGAAGATCTAAACAATGCTGAACTCCAAGCTTCTCCAACTAACAGCTTTGCTGGACCTAAAGAAGAATCAGCTGCTTTTGAGAAGCACAAGGTGGTTGGCCCCTCCAGGAATCTCCAAGAGAACAACTGCTCTTGTCAACATGAGATGAAAAAGATCTTTTGTCGTACTGATCAGCAGTGTATCTGTTATCTCTGCCTTATTGGTCAGCATAAAGACCATGAAACAGTCCCAATCACGACAGAAAGGACTGAGAAGCAAAGGAAACTCAGGGAGAGTCAACAACAACTCAAACAGAGAATCAAGGAACAAGACAAAGAAGTGAAGCTGCTTCAACAGGAGGTGGAGACCATCAATGTCTCTGCTGATAGAGCAGTGGAGGACAATGAGAAGATAATTTCTGGGATAATCCGTCTCCTCCGAAGAAGAAGATATGATGTGACTCAGCAGATCAGATCCCAGCAGGAAACTGAAGTGAGTCGGATCAAAGAGCATCAGAAGAAGCTGGAGCAGGAGATCACTGAGCTGAAGAGGAAATATGCTAAGCTGCAGCAATTTTCAAACACAGAGGATCACACCCAATTTCTCCAGAACTACCCCTCACTGTCAGCACTCAGTGAGTCTACACACTCATCCAGCATCAATATTCGTCCTCAGATAAACTTTGAGGATGTGACAGCAGCTGTGTTAGAACTCAAAGACATACTAGAGGACATCCTGAGAGACACATGGACAAACATCTCCCTCAAACTCACTGATGAGGATGTTTTAATGTCAAAACCTGAACCGAGGACAAGACCTGGATTCCTAAAATATTCACAAGAAATCACACTGGATCCAAACACAGTTAACAGATATATGTTATTGTCTGAGGAAAACACAAAGGTAACAACAACTAAAGAACAACAGTCATATCCAAATCATCCAGACAGATTCATTAATTACAATCAGGTCCTCAATAGAGAGAGTCTGACTGGACGTTGTTACTGGGAGGTGAAGTGGAGGGGAGGGGTTGTTGTAGCTGTTTCATACAAGAATATCAGGAGAGATGGAAAGTCAGAGAAAAGCTTATTTTTATACAATGATAAATCCTGGTCATTATATTGTTACAAAAACTGTTGTGCATTTTATCAAAACAAACTCCCTACTACAGTCCCAGGTCCAATTTCGTCCACTCTAGGAGTGTACCTGGATCACAGAGCAGGTATTCTGTCTTTCTACAGCGTCTCTAAAACCATGACTCTCCTCCGCAGAGTCCAGACCACATTCACTCAGCCTCTACATGCTGGGATTTGGCTTTTTGAAGGTTCGTCTGCTGAGTTTGTTAAACTGAAAAAGCCTATCTGATGCCCAGATGGTTACAATCCATGTTTTAGTTTATTTAGTCTTCCTCTTTGCAGCTGATAACTCATAGCTGTTATATTCTTCACTGCTCATAGATCAGCTGCCTTTATGGTGCTACTTTGTCATCTGGTTGGTGGTTTTGTTAATGTTGGTTATTTTATGGCTGCTGCCCCTTCCTGTTTCTGTTCAGCCATGGAGCCACTCACTGCTCAGGACAGATTGTATATACCTGAAGTTATTACAATGACACATGTTTGTTTTATCCTTCCAAATGTTTTTATTTATATTCTTCAAATCTATCTACAGTTGAGCTGATGGAAATTGTAATTACCACGATCGTCATCAATCAGGATGTCAGCCATTATGTTGTTAGACAAACATAATGGCTGATTCTGGATCCAACTGATTCTAGGAATGAATTAAAATGAGCAGTACCTAGTTCACTAATGTATGAAATGGAAGTCTTTCAAACACCCTCTTGGTATGCAAGACCGCATTATGCAACCACTATCATCATAGCTTGCAGATAAACAAAAAGGAACTATAATGATACTCTTCACCATAGATAACAATACATCAATATAATTGTTGCTTTCAAAGTAAACCACAAATTGTCTCTTGTCTCTTATAGTGACAGTTAATTAGTAAAGAATGCTGAACAATGGAGGAGCTTCACAGCCTGAAATCTGCAGATGCATACAACCATTAATTAAACACCTGCAAAGTACATCTAAATTCTTCGTGTTATCAACAAGGTTCAGATTGCTGAGAGACTAAGTCATTAACATAGCATACATATACTGTAAGTCTCCATGTCCCTGTTACACATATATGTAGTCAAAAGCTGACACTTAACAAAAGGAATGGTATATTTGCAAACCCTTATTTTTTATTACTAACATAAAGGTTTTCCTGATTTGATGGCTAAATCTTGCTATTAATGGCACGGTTGCCAATTTTCAATACTCTACTCCTACATTTGTGGTCCTTCCTGTTTTCTGATTTTTGCCTGACTGAAAAATCCTTTTCACTCTGCATGAAATAAAAAAACTAAGCTTTGTAAATGGTGACATTTTTTTTATTAATAATCCTCAGTAGAAGAACTTAGCTATTTCTAAGGCGATTCTGCATATCAACATGGTGCTTAATAAGAAATGTAATATGTGAAGTCATATGGGAGCTATGTATAGTTTTATGGGTTGATCATATATATGAACACAAACATTACCTTTAAACTGTTATAGTCTGCAGCATTTTCTTGTGCAGACAAGTGATCAGATTTTATTTTATTTTTTTCATTACCAACAATTTATGGCTGTAAATGTTTTGTTTGTTGCAAAATTTAAAAAAAGTCTGTTGAAATCAATAGGATAAGTTTAAGATCAATTGGAAATGTGACATTAGTTTTCATTTATGGATTCAATTCAATAAAAAAATATTCTGAATGATGTTTTTCTTTCTTAGAATCATTTCAGTTTTGAAACCATGTATTTGCTTGTGAAGTATTTGATTAACCTACAACTATTTATTTTCATCTATTTCCTAAATGAATAAAACAATCATATAAATATTGCGTTCGTTCTGTCATAAATCATTTCTAGATCCAGCACTGATGGCCGTCGCAGTTTCGCAAAGAAAAAAAAACACTATAAAATAACTATCATTACCATGATTAATGATTTACAGATAATCCATTAAACTAGCATTCACTGATGATAAGCACCTAAATATTTATAAAAGATAAGTAGATCATATCGCCTTGCCATATTAGCTACCCTAACATCAATGGGCTTCATGCCTAATCCTAATCAGATTTTGATTTATGCCCTGCCATGTTAGTTTGGCTGCAAGCCTATTATCAGTGGACCTGAGCCTAGCCCTTTATTTTAAGTTTTGTAATTTAGATAAATGTATTTCTATAGTATATTCTTCTTATTCTTCTCTAAAAATGCAGATTTAGAGCAAGACTTTACTCTTCAGACTGTTTACTTTTTTGATCAAGAAATCCCAAACAACTTTCTCCAAAAGGTATCTGGAGGTTATGATTAATTTCCCTTTTTTAATGTAATTTTACATCTTCCACCTTAACACTTCAAATAAATGTACAAGAAATCAGAGCTCAAAGATTAGATCACATGTTCCTTTATCAAGCCTTAAAATCTTTAGTGATTGTATGCTGCTTTCTCTTCCAATGTTGCAGCAGGACAGTTTAAAGAAAAAGAAATATGAACAAAATATTGAGCTGCAACTATTAAAGTGTGTCATTCATGTTCTCACCTAATGGATGGAATGTACTGAAGAGACAAATGTTTTTCTATCAATCTTTATTCATAACAGCCCATCTCAGTGGTGTACGGCTGGTTGCCTCCATTAACTGCTGTGGCTGAGGTCCAATGATCAATTCTGTCTCAGCCAAGATGAGATCTGAGGGTGACGCATCTAAACCATGCTGTGACACCTCAGAAATCAGTTGGGTGGTTTTCCCTGAATTAGAATGGAAGCACTAACGGTGACTGATAGTGAAACAAGTCCTTAAAAACGGGAAAAAATCTTTTTATTGGCCATAGAACAGAAAACATAGATCAGTGAATGCAGCAGGGAGTTAGATGCATGTTTATTAGTTAACCATCTTGACACTCTCTTTAAGCAGGGATTTTCTTATTTGTGACAACAACACCCTCTAGTGGGGCAGGTTTTCATCTATCATTAAAGGAAAGAACATGGACCTATGGAGTAAAGGTCTACGCATCACTAAAATTAAGCTTTATCATTTTACAGACGTTTTCTTGTTTTGCATAAATGTATAAAACAACCAGATAATAATAAATGGGAACCAATAGAGCAGTTCATGGAGGGAAATTGAATAGTATTCTTGTAGTCAAAAGTCACAAACCATTCTGGAAGATTGTGAGGGAACGTCAAAACCCAAACATATATATATGATGTCTTACATCAGGTATGGGCAGCCTACAAATGGAGACAGTCTTGTAATAGTCTTTGCACACTGTCTATGTTCTTAGATATGTATTTCTGTAAATGTACTTGGCAGAAAAAAAAACGTTAAACCTACACTTTCCTGTCCCATTATTCTATGAAGGACAGAAACCTAAAGACTAATTAGTCTAGTTAACCTCTTGAACAATGCTCAGTGCCTAACAGGATGTGAAATTATGACAGAGAGGAATAGAAATGAAAAACATTCTTATTACCATCAGCTTTAAAAGCCTTGAACAGAAGACATGCAAAAATTAGAGATTGAACTGAACTTAAAAATGGTATATATACATCAAAATAGTTTTGCTTTTTGGAGTCAAATATGGTGTAATGTAAAGTGGAAGTATAGGAGAAGCTTCTTAGTGTCAAGGGATTCCTTTTGTAATATTATTAGTATAGAAAAGGTACATTAGCATGATGTGTAATTTATGTACTACTATTTAAAATAGCTTTTTTGACTATGTGACCAAATGGAGAAAACTGCAAGCATAACATCAGATAGGCATAAACAGCTACACTATATTGCCAAAAGTATTTGCTCACCCATCCAAATTATTGGAATCAGGTGTTCCAATCACTTCCATGGCCACAGGTGTATAAATTCAAGCACCTAGGCATGCAGACTGTTTTTACAAACATTTGTGAAAGAATGGGTCGCTCTCAGGAGCTCAGTGAATTCCAGCGTGGAACTGTGATAGGATGCCACCTGTGCAACAAATCCAGTCGTGAAATTTCCTCGCTCCTAAATATTCCACAGTCAACTGTCAGCTGTATTATAAGAAAATGGAAGTGTTTGGGAACGACAGCAACTCAGCCACGAAGAGGTAGGCCACGTAAACTGACGGAGCGGGGTCAGCGGATGCTGACGCGCATAGTGCGAAGAGGTCGCCAACTTTCTGCAGAGTCAATCACTACAGACCTCCAAACTTCATGTGGCCTTCAGATTAGCTCAAGAACAGTGCGCAGAGAGCTTCATGGAATGGGTTTCCATGGTCGAGCAGCTGCATCCAAGCCATACATCACCAAGTGCAATGCAAAGCGTCGGATGCGGTGGTGTAAAGCACGCCGCCACTGGACTCTAGAGCAGTGGAGACGCGTTCTCTGGAGTGACGAATCGCGCTTCTCCATCTGGCAATCTGATGGACGGGTCTGGGTTTGGCGGTTGCCAGGAGAACGGTACTTGTCTGACTGCATTGTGCCAAGTGTAAAGTTTGGTGGAGGGGGGATTATGGTGTGAGGTTGTTTTTCAGGAGCTGGGCTTGGCCCCTTAGTTCCAGTGAAAGGAACTCTGAATGCTTCAGCATACCAAGACATTTTGGACAATTCCATGCTCCCAACTTTGTGGGAACAGTTTGGAGCTGGCCCCTTCCTCTTCCAACATGACTGTGCACCAGTGCACAAAGCAAGGTCCATAAAGACATGGATGACAGAGTCTGGTGTGGATGAACTTGACTGGCCTGCACAGAGTCCTGACCTCAACCCGATAGAACACCTTTGGGATGAATTAGAGCGGAGACTGAGAGCCAGGCCTTCTCGTCCAACATCAGTGTGCGACCTCACAAATGCGCTTCTGGAAGAATGGTCAAAAATTCCCATAAACACACTCCTAAACCTTGTGGACAGCCTTCCCAGAAGAGTTGAAGCTGTTCTAGCTGCAAAGGGTGGACCGACGTCATATTGAACCCTATGGATTAGGAACGGGATGTCACTTAAGCTCATATGTGAGTCAAGGCAGGTGAGCAAATACTTTTGGCAATATAGTGTATCTTATGCAATAACTTTATAATTTTTAGCCCATGTAGTGGCTTTGTTTTTGTTTAAACAAATACCTTTCAGACTGTCATATATTGTTCAGTGAACACACTCCAAAATGGCTGCTTGTTAGGACAATAAAAGAAAGTGTAAATTTAGCTCAAATCAAGGTCAAGCAGTTTACCCTGCCCATACATGGAATAATTTCACCACAAGGAGGAGACTAAAGTCAGAGGGGAGAGAGACAAAGGAGGCTACTGGGACAGAGGTTTCAAACTTATGGTTTCTGAAAAGTCCCTTTTTTTTTCCTTTGTCCGGACAAAGTATTAGTATTTTTCCCAAAAATGTTTTTCAAAGAGTAGGAACAATTTTAAAGACTGCTGGCTGAAAACAGAGAAATGGAACCCAAAACCCAACAAAACAGCAATGCTTTACGTGCAGCAAGCAGATGGCGTCTTTTATTGATCAACATTATTTATATACTTTTCTCACTTATTTTGACCTCAATGGGGAGTTAAAGCTACAGTGTGTAATTTTCAGCGACATCTAACGTCCAGACTGCAGACTGCAGCAACATGAACATCTCCCCCCCACCGCTTCTCCCCCCCAACAGTACGGCGAGCGTTACGGGACAAAATGTCTTCCACGACGTCCGCATCACCTTCCTTCTCAAGTGATGAGGTTTGTTAACATAGATAATTTTACAGATAGTATTTCATTAGTCTGTGTAGGGTAAAGATTTCATGTAGACTTAAGATAATAAATATACCCGTTATTTTTTCTACATCGTTGTGACGTTTTGGTGAGCTGCTTTGCATGGTGATATAAACAGACGAAGTAATTGTAGTCATTAGTTTAACAGCGAGATTGTGTTCACTGGAAGAATATATATTCCCCGTTTACAGAGTCCAAGTCTTGTTTGGGGCAGGGGGGGTTACAAGGCGAGGAAGAGGGAGAGGAAGAGGGCAGAGAGGCCGGGGTGGGCGTGCAGCCAGGGCCAGGCGAGGGAGAGGTGCCAGCGGGGTGACTAGAGCAGAGGAGGAAAGGCTTGAAGATCTCCAAAGGAGCCGGAGAGAAGTAACCGAGGTATATATCCGTAGCTCGCTAATATGCAGCTTCATATATCTGTCTCTCTCACACTTACACACGCCACTATCAGCTGTGGTA